CATGTCATTGTTATTTATCTAGTCTAATTTTAGACCCATTCTTACAATATTAGCTCCACCTCTCATGCATACCTAATGTTTAATCAAGGGCAGGTAAGTGTAAATTCTCTATATTTGGAAAGAGTAAGGACAGAAAACATAGAATCATTTTATTGTATCACAGTCCAAGATCATTTTAATGTTTAAATTCGGCTCGAAATTGACAGGATTCTTTCATAAATATATAGAAATGAAATAAGATAATGATATAAAAGCAACAGAAGCGATCGAAAAAGACCCAAAACCCGGCGTTAAGTGCAGTCATCCTTTTTAAGTATTTTATAATTATAGTTGCCTGTTAGAAAACACGTCCTACATAGTTTACTTGCTATTTATTGATTATGCTCACTCTCATATTGTTATATTTTACAATATTGTATATATGTTTAGTTATTGATATATGTAATCTGATGTGTCGTATGACGCAAAGAAATAAAGAACTTGAACTTGAAAATATGTAAAAGAATATTAATTTTATAATAATTACCGTAGTGTCCAAACATTTCACGGCTATAATGGGTACATGGTATGAGATCAAGTCCAATTAATAATTTTACAAAGAAAGCGCAGTAAAGCGAGATAATTTTATTACAAAAACAACATATTAATTGACAAATAATTCTCGCGGAAGGGAAGCATTTCTAATTACTGTACTCTCTACATGTAAAGGCAGTTTTTAATGAGGAAAATTATCTTATCGTCTGTGTCTGAGGAAAGACAGTTTCTCAATTTTAGGATGAGAATTCCATCTCTTTATCACTCTTTTATTGAATTTATTTATTCGAATGTCGTTTCGTTATTCGATCGTCGGTCCATTCGACTGATAGTCGAATAGTCGATTATTCGTTGACATCCCTAGTCTGTATGTTACATATGCTTTTTTTTTGAAGAGAAAAAAATATAGAATGTGAATTTAAAAAAAAAAAACCATATACACATATTTAAAATTTCGATTTACATGTATTTCTTTGAGAACTAATGATGTATTTTTGTATTATCTGGGTGGGAAAAATTTAGTTATGTTTTAATTTTTGTAATTACTTTTACCCAGTAAATTTAGGGAAAAACTGTCTTGAGTATGGTGTCCGCACAGGGCCATTTGCCCTCGTTGAGAAAAACACGCCGTCGCGCTAACACACAGCACGCCGTCACGGTACCACACAACACGCCATCGCGCTAACACATCATTGAACAACACGCCGTCACGCTAACACAAGTTCGCACAACACGCCGTCGCGCTAACCTACAACTCGTCGTCGCGCTATCACAAAGTTGTGTTTGCGAGTTGTGCGATAGCGCGACAGCGTGTTGTGTAAAGTTGTGTTAGCGCAACAGCATGTTGTTTGAAAGCGTGTTAACGCGACGGCGTATTGTGTATAAGCGCGATGACGTGTTTTGTATAATTGTGTTAGCGTGATGGCGTGTTGTGTGTTAGCGCGATGACGTGTTTTTCTGAACGCGTTGTTGAGCTTTTGCAAATGGCCCTTTCCGGACACCATACTTGAGACAGTTAATGCTAATTCACATGATTGTGATGATGAACAAAAGTAAATATACAAAAACATGCATGTGGTAATTTTTAGACCCAAATACTGTACAGGAACCTTGAAAATAATGGAATTTAGGTGAAAATACTGTATATTGCTAATCAAAAATGTTCAAAATATCGACCAAAAATCAACTTAAAAGGTTTATTTTTATGCCCCCGTAATCGAAGATTCGGGGCATATAGTTTTTGTCCTGTCTGTCCAACTGTCTGTCTAGCTGTCTGTCGGTCCACAAAAAACTTTAACCTTGGCCATAACTTTTGATTGGTTGGAGCTAAGGCTTTCATATTTCACATGTGTATTTCTTGCCAATATCTTTCTTTGGGTACCAACATAATACAAATATTTTTGGCCTCTTGACCTTAACTTTGGAGTTTGATCCACTTAACAGAAACTTTAACTTTGTCCATAATATTTGAACGGTTGGTACTAGGGCTTTCATATTCCACATGTGTATTCCTTGTGACAAGATCTTCCCTTGGTACCAACAATTTTTACCTTTGACCTTGACCTTTTAGTCTGACCTTCTTTTAAATTAACTTTTGAACGGGTGGTACTAGGGCTTTCTTATCTCACTTATATGTTCCATGTGACAAGACCTTCCTTTGGGTACCAACAATATTGACCATATGACCTTGTAGTTTGACCTACTTTTGAAAAACATTAATCTTGGCAATAACTTTTGAATGGTTGGTATTAGGGCTTTCATACTTAACAGGTGTATTCTTTGTGAAAAGACCTTCTCTTGGGTACCAACAAAATTGATTCGTCTATCCTGACCTTTGGAATTGACCTACTTTTGAAAAACTTTAACCTTAGTCATAACTTTTCAACAGTTGGCGCTAGTGCTTTCATATTTCACAAGTATATTCCTTGCAACAAGTCCTTCCCTTGGATACCAACAATTTTTTCCTTTGACCTTGGGTTTAACCTACTTTTGAAAACTTTAACCTTGGCAATAACTTTTGAACATTGGTGGTAGGGCTTTCATATTTCACATGTGTATTCCTTGTGACAAGACCTTCCTTTTGGGTACTAACAATTTTGATTTGTTTTCCTTGACCTTAGGTGCTTGGCTTGCATCTTAGAAACTTTAACCTTCGCCATTAGGTGTCATACGGGGGCATCAGTGTTTCGCAAACACATCCTGTTGTTTATTAATTTCAAATCAATAAATGTACAACTGCATGTAGTGTTAATTATAGTAAGTCATGCATCAAATAAAATTACCGGTGTTGTGAGAGCGAGAATTAATTAAAGAACAAGATGTGTTTGTGAAACGCTGATGCCCCCGTATGGCAACTTATAGCAAAGGTTAAACTTTTTCAAATGCAAATCAAATACGTTGGTACCCAAAGTAAGGTCTTGTCTCGGGGAATAAACCTGTGAAATATGAAACCCTAGCAGCAACCATTGAATAGATATAGAAAAGGTTAAAGTTTTTTTTTCAAAAGTATGTCAAACATCAAGGTCAAGGTCAAATGGTCAAAATTAATGGTGCCCATGGAAAGGCCTCCCAAGAAATACACAGGTGAAATATGAAAGCCAAAGCACCAATCATGACCAAGGTTAAAGTTTTCCAAAAGTAGGTCAAATTCCAAGGTCAAGGTCAAAGGGTCAAAGTGGTTGGTATCCAAAGGAAGGTCTTGTCACAAGATTTACATATGTGAAGTATGAAAGCCCTAGCACCAACCATTCAAAAGTTATGACCAAGGATAAAGTTTTTCAAAAGTTGGTCAAACTCCTAGATCAAGTTCAAAGGTCAAATTGGTTGGTATTCAAAGAAAGGTCTTGTCACAAGGAAAACACATGTGAAGTTTGAAACCCCAAGCACTAACTGGTCAAAGGTTATGACCAAGGTTAAAGTTTTTTAAAAGTAGGTCAAACTCCAAGGTCAAAAGGTCAAAGTTGTTGGTATCCAAAGGAAGGTCTTGTCACAAGGAATACACGTGTGAAGTTTGAAACCCCAAGCACCAACTGTTCAAAAGTTAGGACCAAGGTTAAAGTCTCATAAAATTTGCAAAAGTGGGTCAAACTTCAAGGTCAAGGTCAAAAGGGCAAATATGTTGTTACTCAAAGAAAGGTCTTGTCACAAGAAATACACATGTGAAATATGAAAGTCATAGCTTCAACCAATCAAAAGTTATGAGCAAGGTCAAAGTTTTTGCGGACAAACAAACAAGCAAACAGACTGACAGACGGGGCAAAAACTATATACCCCCGAATCTTCGATACGGAGGCATAAAAATGGAGGTTTCTGGTAAACAATTCAAAATACGGGACAAATTTTCATTTCCCGTGAATTTTGTTGTATCACCGTGATCCCATCATGGCATGAATGGGGTCAAGAATATTTGACATTCCGTGAACAGCCGGTACATATTACATGTATGCTAAAATGTACACTAGGTTAAAATCAGAATGTGCGTGGGCCACAGACTAGCTGCAATAATGTAGTCCTCTCCGATTTCTTTTTCTTTTTTTTTGGGGGGGGGGGGGAGGAGCCCTCTCCTGAAAATATCAGATTAAAAAAAATCGTAGAGGGCTACATTATTGCAGCTAGCCACAGACAACAATTGGTATTATACACACTAACAGAGTACTTTTTGCTTCTATTACAGCAGTATAGCGCGAAATATTACCAACCAATTTCGAGCAAAAACATAACCTATAAAATCATGTGATCACAAGACATGAAATTAAAATTTACCAAAATATAGAACAATACTTTTAACTTTAAACTTATACGCGTTTTCACCATCACGGTAGCTCATTCGGTACAGCGCTCGCTCCGTGATCGGTGTCACCGTGATCGGAAGGTCGTGTGTGTTCGAATCACGGCCGCGACTGACCTAAGTCGATAAAAAAAATAGGTAGCAACTGTTCCCTCGCCAAGTGCTCGGTACTTTGAAGTGAAAGTTGCGGGCCCTTCGGATGAGACCTTAAAAACCGAGGCCCCGTGTCACAGCAGGCGTTGGCACGATAAAGACCCCTCGCTGCTCAATGGCTCTGAGTGCCGAGTAAAGGTCTAAATTTGAAGCCTTTCACCGGTATATGGTGACGTCTCTAAATGAGTGAAAAATTCTCGAACGGGACGTAAAACAACATACAATCAATCATATACGCATTTTCCGTACTTATTTGAAAATTGGTGTATTTAAACATTGTATAATTTTATTTTATTTTATTTTATTTTTTTTTTTAATGTGTACGTCGACTGTTTTTCAAAGAAAGCCTTCAAATGTTTCAAATCATTCTTTTCTTTGTCACAAAATTCATGTAATGATGTATGAACATTACATTTATGACGGTTCAATGTATCTCCATTCTTCCTCGTAACTAAGTGGTACAATATCTTTAGATTAATAGATAATCTGCAGTTGGGGCATTATAAACGTACAAATGAAAAATTACCTGAAGTTTTAATGCTAAGTTGATTTTTCAAATCCTGAATTTCTGATTCCTGAGAATTTATTTTTGCGTCTTGTGCCAAGTTCCTAGTTTTTGTTTCGAGCAGCGCTGATTTTAAAGCTTGCAACTCATGTTCCAGGGCTTCTAGCCGCGAATTCATCATGTCTGGATCGTTCAATAGGATGCGTTTCTCCTGACCGGAAACAGGCATTAAGCAATTTGATAACATGAAAAAGAATAAAGTTGAATCCATGACAAGGAAGAGATACTTGGCTTGCAGTATGTAGAACATTACTATTGGCACTAGATTAGACTTTTCTTATCAATTTGGTTGTGATAAAGATTCCAACCTTAATGCAAGTTTTTCTGTGTCTGTTTAAGGCAGAGAAAATAAGCACCTCCTCCAAATTTACCCACAGGCGCCTGAAGTGTGGATCGATAGCCCACCCAACCCCACTTTAATTTTAAAAAAATGTAAGAGCTTATAATTTCCCAAAAATATAAATTTTCCCCGTCAATCACATTCATATATCGTTCTATGCAAGCAGATTGCACTTTTTCTTAGGTTTAGAGAATGGCCTGATACAGTAGAAACAAAATTTGTAAACAAACGAGATGTTCCCTAATCTGTTTCACTTTATTTGATTGGTCAAAGATTTAAAGTACATCACTGTTAACGAATCAGATAAAGCGAATCAGATCTGCAAACTCCAAAACCTCCTTCAAAACAGTCAATGGAGAAAAGCCGGAACACGAGGACATCAAGGACGAAGCAAATTTACGTGCAACAATTTTGGTCAGAGAATTCCTACATGTATGTACTGTCCAGAAAAAAAATTCAACTAAAACAAAGCTTTCTGAGAAGTTTTGGAAGGTGCATTACATTACCGCTACATTTTCAAAATAGTCATAGGTACCGCTACATTCTCATTACATCTACAGCGGCGGATCCAGGAATTTCATAACGGGGGGGGGGCACAGTAGAAGGCAGGGCGTCTGGGGCTGCATTGAAGCCCCCAGCAGGTCCAGGGCAAAGCCATGGTGGGGGTCCGAGGGCAAAGCTCCCGAAAACTGACGAATTCTAACAAATAAGAGGTGTTTTTTTCCCTTGATTTTAGGATAATACAAACAAAATTTTAAAAAAAAGAATTCAAAAGGGGGGGGGGGGGGCACGCCCGGCGCTGGTTCCGCCTTTGATCTATACAAAATAGGATAAATTACCGCGCTACATTTATAAGTACACATTTTACCGCTACAAGGCCTAATGCATGTATGGATATTATAAAGTACAAAAGTACATGCATAAGACCTGTTTCCCCCTGCTCCGCACGTAAAGGTGAAAATAGAACTTTTGAGTAGGATTTTTTTTTTTGGACTTTATTGTTTAAAATCCCTCATTCTTTTTCTATAGGATACATTTTGGCAGGTTTCTTCTACACATCTCTACACCTTTTTTTAGTCCTATCTATTTCGACTACAGGCTAAAGGAATTACATAGAATAGAACTCATACTTAATTGTACTCCGACTGCATTTTGTGTGGATTATATTGAATAGAACTCATATTCTGAGCCATCCGCATCGAAGGCAGATTTAAAGCGACACCGTGACGCACAAACGGGAAAATTGACAAAGAGCGAATTTTTGCATAACCCGTGCAAATTTTGTTCAATTCCTGAAACTATTAGGTTTCAGAACATTACAGATTTCGTAACCTAAAAAATCTACTTTTATGGAGAAAAAATAAATTTTTGTATGGCCCAACACGAAAATATTGCTTTACTTCTTCCTCCTTATTGTATGCGTGCGCTGAAAAGTTGAAGAAGTTATCATGGTCTCAAGTACCAAAACATGAATGTCCGGAGATCAAGAATTCTGATACAATCTTCAAAAAAGATAATTAGACCTTTGCATGCTCCAATTGAATGTTGTTTACAAGTTTACGCTATAAATAAAAGAATATCTCAATAAATAATTTATCTTAAGAAGGATAAAAAATAACAAGAATATCTAAAAAATAAAATATCTCAAGAAGCTTTTGAGCTTTTGCAATGAACTTTTATACTATAACTCCCTATGGCCTCTCTCGCCCCTCTCAAAGTGTCCCGCCCCGTTTTTTTTTTTTTTATTTATTTATTTATTTTTTTTATTTTTATTGTATTAAAAGTCGCGTGGCATTATTTTTAGCAATGGAGCATGTGGAGATTTATTACATATAATACAGGTTGTCGGCGGACTTTATATTCTAATTACATCTATTAGAACTGTTTAGTAAAGGCTAAATTTAGCTTGTGAGAGGTCCCGGGTTCAAATCCCAGATGATCCCGTATTTTTTTTTTTTTATTATTATTATCATCTTCTTTTGAATTTTTTTTTTTCGATTACTAATTGATAGTATTCATTATTCAACATATGAAATGAAGAAGTTGCGACGTCTGGCGTGTACAGACTTTCTCATAAAATCATTATTACAGTGTGATAAATAAAAGAATCTTCTGTACACATATTAAAGTATAAGCAATCAAATCTATATATCCATTAACATTTTTTATTTGCTTCAGTAAACATGTAAAGATATACACGCTATATAAACGCGATTTTTTATGTGAAACAAAATGATTAAATGATTTGAGAAACAGGAAAATAAATAATTGTAATTTGAGATTTTTATAATTTAATTATTCTGCAAATCCGGGGGGGGGGGGGAGGGGGGGGGGTCGGACCCCCCTCCTCCACCCCAGATCTGCGCATGCTGTGCTTTTTTCCTTAAGCGGGGGACACAAATTCTCTGAATTAGCTCGTTTATCTTGAGCCGGGAGAGGACAAGCAAACATTAAAGATTAAAGATGGCCCGATGGCCATTTTCCAAAAGGGAGTTCAACATTACCGCTACATTGCAAAAAAATCCAACTCATTACCGCTACTTTTCTTTTAATTTTCGGATGCTCATTACCGCTACATCGTATCAATTAGACGATTGGCGATTACAATTCATTACCGCCACATACACAAATCTGCCTTCGACGCGGATGGCATAGAATATGAGTTCTATTCAATATAATTCACTCAAAATGTAGTCGGAGTACAATAAGGTATGAGTTCTATACAATATTGAATGTTATTCCTTAGCCTGTAGTCGAAATAAAATAAGACTTTCTAAAATCCTCAAGTGTGGAGGTGTGTAGAAGAAACCTGCCAAAAATGTATCTGCTGTGGCCTTCAACTCGACATTTAGATAAATTTACAATAGGTACATTTATTCATATGTAGATTCGATATATCCAAGTGAACTTGAAATAAAAAGACACCACAGCGTCTGCCACATTTGTTTCATATTTCGATGTTTAACTGACTATAGACGATAAGGGCCAACTAACAACTAAATATTATGACGATTGAGATGACAACTTTTCCATTGTCAACTTTCCTTATTAGTCCCCTACCGGTGAAACCGGAGGGGACTATAGGTTTCCTCTGAGTCTGTCCGTCCGTCCGTCTGTCTGTCCCTCTGTCTGTCTGTCAGTCTGTCCCACTTGGTTTTCCGCACTTTTTTCCTAAACGCTTGCAGATATTGAGCTAATTTTTGGTATGTTATTGTATCTTGATGAGTTACAGATCAAGTTTGCATTTCGTTCCGCTTCATTGATTTTTGACGGAATTACGGCCTTTTCAATTTTTACGGGTTTTCCGCACTTTTCTTCTAAACGCTTGTAGATTTTGAGCTGATTTTTGGTATGTGGCTTTACCTTGATTAGTTATAGATTAAGTTTGCATTTCGTCCCGCTTCATTAATTTTTGACGGAATTATGGCATTTTCAATTCTTAACGGGAACAAGATTACACTTGCCGGTAGGGGACTAGTATTGCTAATGCAATACTCTCAGAATGCTTGTTTATGTAGTAATATCCCGCTATCACCTGCTTATGGTAAAGTCAACCTTAAATAGTTCTAAATATATGTTTAAGAAAGTTGACATACTTAAATCACCTCCACCGGCCTAAGTTTTGCTAAGATTAAAAATTATTTTCTAATGAATACTGTAAATAGAGAATGTTTTAACATAGAAAGTCAACCTTAAATAGTTCTAAATATATGTTGAAGAAAGTTGACATACTTAAATCACCTCTACCGGCCTTAGTTTTGCTAAGATTGTCAAATCTTAGCACGTTTCTAGTTATGGTCTTAAGTTTAAGCCTGTACTTAAGTCCTACTTAAGTTTGGTCTTAGACTTAAAGGTGCTTAGACACAGATTTGAAGTTAATATTTCTCAAATTTTCTGTATAATATCCTGACTTATATGTTGCTTAAGCATTTCAGACGGAAATGAAAATAAAATAGTCATAGGTACCGCTATAATATGTATATAATTTATATATATATTATATATATTTTATTTTTATATGAAAATAATGAAAAACTTATTTTATCTAGAAACTATAACTACGAATTTCGGGGCGCGTTTGATTGGCACATCCTTTCCATTTCACAAAGTAAACTTTATCGTTAATACTTAAGAAAAGTAGAAATTTTGTTGTGTATCAATGAAAAATATTGAAACTATAATCCATGCAGAAAATTCAGAGTAGAAATGCGAGAAAGCAAAACCAACTCACCAGTATTGTCAGTCCGTGCTCAGTCATGTGTGCAGATTGAGTTTAACAAATTAAACACACCCGTGAAACGTAAACTGTATTTGTAAACATGGAACCAGCACTGTTATTATCGGCCGCAGCAGCGGCCGATCTATTTGTGGTTGTGTTAGAAAGTGCACATGGGGAAATGAGACGTTATTTTTTATTAGTTCAGTAAAATAATTCTTAAATGATAACATGTATAAAATCATAAGTAAAATATTTTAAAAACTTGCTTTAAACTAGGTCTTAATTGTTGTTATTATTTTCAATTTCATTGTCATTTCTCATCAGATAATTATTAATTTATGAATTTATAAAAAAGAGTTTACAATAAGTACTCCCCAACCTGGGAGTGTGTAAGATATGAAAGCAGAAGATTTTCCGGATAATAAAAAAGTGGTAAAAGTGCATAATAAATAAAAATTAAAAAGTTGTTCAATCAGTAAAAATTGTTTTGTATATGCTACAGCTGCGAATGACACATGGATAATTTTTTCTACATCATTGCACCGCGCCGTGCAGCATAGGCTACTGCCTACTCTGCAGAAATCATGGGCATAGTCACGTGACAAAGATCCAGGTATCAGCACGTGGTTCATCTTGAGCATCTTCATTTTGATGACAATGAATTCTCATCATTTATCATTGACTTTATTACATCGATGTATCAATTTGATGAACAAATGCACTAAAATTTCTATTTATTTTATTTCTTTTAATTTATTTATTTATTTTGAAGAAGTCTGAAATAAAAATGATCACTCTTCAAGCTTTGAATATCCCGTGCTTTCCTTGCATGGATGCTTTTAAAATTTTGAAATTCCAAATTTTGTTTGCGGCCGATTTGATGCTTTGCATCAATTTTACTTGTTGTTAATGTTTGCGTTTCTCGGGGTGTGTTCAATTTGTTAAACTCTTCACACATCAATGAACACAGACTGACAATACTGGTGAGTTGGTTTGCTTTCTCACATGTCTACTCTGAATTTTCTGGATTATAGTTTTAATATTTGTCATTAATACAAACAAAATTTCTACTTTCCTTAAGTACTAAGGATAAAGTTTACTCTGTGAAAGTGCAAGGATGTGTCAATCAAACGCGTCCCGAAATTCGTAGTTTCAATAATTTCCAGATAAAATAAGTTTTTTGTCATATTTCCGTGTGAAATGCTATAGCTACATATAAGCCATGATATTATACAGAAAATTTGAGAAAATATTAACTTCAAATCTGTGTCAAAGCTCCTTTAAGTACCATTCATGTTAGGACACCCTGTACTTTTGTACTTTATAGTATCTATACATGCATTAGGCCTTGTAGCGGTAATATATACTTATAAATGTAGCAATAATGTATCCTATTTTGTAGAGGTAATGAGAATGTAGCGGTACCTATGACTATTTTGAAAATGTAGGGTAATGTAATGCACCATTCCAAAACTTCTCATAAAGATTTGTTTAGTTGAATTAATTTTTTTTCTGGACAGTGCATACATGTAGGAATTCTCTGACCAACATAGTTGCATGTCAATTTAATTCGTCCTTGACGTCCTCGTGTTCCGGCTTTCTGAATCAGATTACAGGCACCTGACGAATGGATGGTGTAACCCCCCCCCCCCCCCCGCTTAGAAATGAGAATTTCTATTAGACTCAAAAAATACATGAATTCCTAATCTATCTTTCCTATATTTCGAAATATCATTTCCGCTTTTGTTAAGTTTTAGAGATTGGCCCTAAATACTAGTAAGGGGGGGGGGTTACACCATCCATTCTTCAGGTGCCTGTGGAATAAGCACTTTAATTTAAAATCGGTGAACGTGTAAATTTGGTGTACACATTCAATAATGATCAATTAATTGACAAATTAAAAAAAAATATTATAATCTATGCATGATTTATTATCAATTTTATTATTTAACAAAATGATTTTACATTTTACACGTATTTAAATATTTTGCCAAGCCAAACATTTTCATATCAATACAGTGTCTTTGTCGCATATGCAGTAATCATCAAGACCGAAAGTTAATCTGACGATCGACATGAGCCCCAGGCAAGGTACCTAGACATATACAAGGTATAAATGGAGACTAACAACTAAATATCAATCAATTTTTTAGGGGCTTACTGGCCAAGGGGTTTATTTAGTTATGGCCCCCATTCTAAAAAGTTGATGCTCACTGAACAAATGGTCATAGCATTAGTTTGTGAGCATTTGGCTCAAAGAGCTTATGAAAGGGGTTCACAGTCTAACATGCACCCAATTTTAAAAGAATACCGGATTTTGGTTTTAGAAATCAATACCGTTACATGTAGATTTTGTCATGTTATGTGTATGTGCAGCATATCTATACTTATAAATTAATAAATTTTGCAAATAAACTCCGAAACGGGTGCACCAGAGTTCTTACTTACTCCTCTAAGAATACACACGATACAAGATGATGTCCGTAAACTATATTTAATTTTCACTTGCATAGTAAGTATCGTACATTAAATCAAAAGTCTACTTTTATTTTCTATAAACAGCCATGAAATAGCAAAAACGTGAGTACGGTGGCGTTTCCGGTTGGTGGATCTAAGTTACTGACAATTTTTAATGAAACTGACAACAAGCAATCGTTTATTTATTTCATTAAACGTCATTACTGAATTATTCAATCAAAACTTGATTTAAATGATATAAAAGAAATAAGTTGTGATAACTGATTAAAAAGGAAAATGTGCAAATTATTTTCGTCATTCACCGATCGTAATATTGACGGAAGCTTCTAGAACATCATATAGCATCGAGCCCGATGTTAAAAAGAAAATTTTAACATAAAAAAGAAAGTTTTTGTGTGAATGGTTATTGAAATAATGGTAAATCATTGATAACACTGTAAGTTGTGAATATATTTATATATCGAAAGACTATTACATATATTTAGCAGGTTTTCTTAATAAATCTATCGATAAAATTTGTATAGATTCCTCACTGAGAGCATCGTGGCAACGAACCCGAAGTGCAATTTGTACTTTGTAATAAACTTGCTTACATGAAAAGAGAAAATTAATGAATAAGGCATTGTTCATGTTCAAATACAATTATGCTGTAAAATGTTGTGCTTTAATCAATACATTTCATTTTTTTCTGAATATAGTCTTTTGTATCAAATACTCGGCCTATTCTAGTGGCGGATCCAGAAATCTTGAAAAAAGGGGGGTGGGGGGGCGACCAGTTTGGGGTTGGGGTAGGGATCACGCACACACCGCAAAAAAAAAATGATTTATTAAATTTCATGTATATTTTGGACACAAAACGGGAGGGGGGCTGCCCCCTCTAAATCCGCCAGTGTACTCATAGGGCGTTATATAAAAGCTAATTTTTACACAGGTACTTGGGTCTTGGATTATAAAAATGTATGTACCTTATTGATATGTAAAAAAAAGGTAAGGTACAGTTTTTACATATCAATAAGGTACATACATATTTATAAACCAAGACCCAAGTACCAGTAAATTTTTACCAAAAAAAAAAAAAAAAATAAATAAATAAATCAATTTCTCAGTAGAATGTGGATTTCTTGACGGAAATGAAATAAGAGCATCTGAAGTACAATATCCATAATATAGTATATACAATATCCATAACATAGTATATAGGTAATAGGTTTCACAATAAACGTCAATTTATTAAAATTTTTATTTAAGTTTTACAAGGGGGGGGGGGGGGATGGAGACGTATTGTCTTCTACTTCATGCGGGATTTTGAACAAATCCCCGCGCTTGCGCGGGATTTCATCTAGTGATCTTAGATTTTCTTGTGAAATCTTAAAAAGTGTTTGTTTGTCAAAGAGAACAATGAGATTACATACCCCAAATCACTTGTGACAGTTTTTAATAAAATACAAAAGACACAAATACATGTAATAATAATTTCCTCTTTTTTCCCAAATATAGGACATTTCAAAACAATTACTCTTTACTGTTATTAGGTATACAGAGTCTTGGAAACACACACACACACACACATACATACACTCTCTAAAAGTAATTACCTTGAACACATCACAACTTAAATATCATTAAAAACGGATTTATTAATCATTCATGTTTTTCTTACATTAATAAAGCCTTCATTATTTCAATGTTATAAATATGCTCAAAGTGAAAAAACATATCATGTACATTATACATGTTTTTGCCTTTGTACATATACATAATTAGACGGTTGTTTGCAGGTAGGCATTTTAAATTTTGTGCAACTTATCTGTTTCTAAAACATGTAATTGATAAACTGCAGTATTTTTTATTCCTTCATAAATGAGAAAAGACAGTTAAAAACCAATTATAATTGATGATTAAATATAAAGAGATCCATCAGCAGGTCCTATGTATCCAACAGCAATCAGAATCACATCCACAATTGTCCACACCCCCAGACCCCCAAAACTAAACAGTTTGCCCAGTGCCTCCTTCCACTGTCCAAGGTAAAAACGGTCCACTCCAAATCCTCCAAGTGTAACACTGTAATAGGATTACAAGAGAGGTGTAACTGAGTAACAGCTAGTGCTACTCCAAAATGAACGATCTAATTAAAATTAGACCTTTCATCTCGCTCTTTGTAAATTGATTTGTCGCTCATGAGCGACAAATCAATTTACAAAGAGCGAGATGAAAGGTCTAATTTTAATTAGATTGCAAAATGAACAAAGTAAACAAGTACAGTTGAACTTCAATCTCAAATATCAATATCTCAAATATCAATTATATGAATACCGTATTTGGCTGAATACAATACACACTTTTTTCCTAGAAAATGTTTCTGTGAGAAAGCGGTGTGTATTTTACACGACATTAGGATTTTGATAGTTTTTTCTTTCAGGTGAAACATGGCTATCATACGGACATATCGTAGTATTACCTAGAGACATGCGCAATCTCAGTCCCATCGAGTTTGAGATAATAAGGTTTGACTGTATATTTGAATTTCTAGACTAGCTCCCATCAAATGACTTTCATGATGATATGTGTTATTATCCGCTAACAAATGTGAAATATTTTTCTTGTACTACAAGAGCTACAGCTATTTTATTTTTGCTGTCTTTTGAATTCCCCAATCAGCCACAAGAAGAACATTCTATGTATGTGCATTAATAAATTTTTTCTGTAAAAAACCTGTTTATACCTTAGAGCCAGTGCTGTTGACCACTTGTATCCACTTGTCCAATTACAAAACTTTCGCTTTTGAAAAGTCCTGTTCCCTGATTATGATAATAAAACAAATACATTGCAGCCACTTTTGTGAGATATATTGCATAAAAAAAAATATAGTACAATGCATGCACAGTAATGTAAGGTCAATGGCACAATAAAGCGATGGCTCGATGACAAAACGGTGAGAAAGCATGATGTCAGACAAAGATGCTATGGCATGACAATGTGTGATGAAAATGGTGCAAAAGCACAATGGAGGAATAGCAAACATGGCTTCATTGTCATCGTTCCATCATGCCATTGTTATCACACCATCTTGTCATTGCTATTGTAGCATTGCTTCATCACTTCATTGTGCCATCGCACCATCGTCATTGCGCTATCACACCATCACTTCATCATCATCACTCCATCATCATCATGTTATCATGTCATTGCACTATTTACCCAAACCTTGATGGTGTGATGATGCAACAGTGAACTACATGGCCTTATCTGGATTCCATAAAATATTGATAAATATAAATTTATATATATATATATATATATATATATATATAATACACACACACACACACAAACTTGTCTAATCCAGACACCACTCCCTCCAAAGAAATTGGCTTGATTAGACAACTTATCGGATTAGACAACATTTTAAAAAAATGAACTTACTGAAAAGGACTTAAAGTTTACATTATATTAGGCAAGATTTTGGATTATACAACATCCGGATTAGACAAGTTTCACTGTATATATAGAAAGAGACTTACCTAGACAAAAAACATTTTCCCTCACTTGACACTCAGATACGTATCGTTTACGTGGAGCATCTCTAACAGCACATGTTGCATTCACCTTGCTGCATGTGTAATTGGATTCATGCAGCTGGTAGCAATACCGGCAGTTGAATTTTCTAGTTTGATCCCTAGAGCCCTGTGTCAAGCAAAAACATTTCAGGTTATTCTTATACAGGTAAATCAAGCTGATAATCAACTACAGTACAACACAAAGGATTCATTACACACTATTCATTTATAAAATTATGCTTATGATAAAGAGAAAACCACAATGCAAAGCAATACACATCATGGCAAACCATGGCCAAAATTTAAGATTCTCTCCCTTCTGGTCATGGTTGAAAGAGAATATTTCACAGCTCATTAAAATATTGATCAATGCGAGTAAAGCATAGTTGGAAAATAACTTTTGATGCAACCTTTCAATATCCAATTGCATTTATTGTATATTGTTCAATGTAAGGCCATTCCAAGTTTTTTCTATGTTTAGCGTCCACCCATCTTTCAAATACCTACCTAGTACCTATTCGCAGAAAACACACAAACCAAAAAGTAGAACACAAGTCTTTATAGTCATAAAAATGATGTCATCCAAAGGATTTGATTCCATTAATCTATTTTTTCTATATCTATTCTATAGAAATATCTATTCTTCAGCAAAATCAAGGTTTTAAATGCTTACAATATTCCAAATATGACATATTGTAGACAAATACTTAGATTAATTCACAGAATTCAGTGATTTTGACCAGAATAAACAATTTCAGGACTCCTGATTTTGTTTGTTTTTTCTGATATGGGGTGTCAAAAACCAAGGCGCACGCGGACGCTAAACATAGAAAAAACTTGGAATAGCCTAATTGCAATAAAAATAATCATTTTAATTGGTTTAGAACATGATGTCACACATTAGGTGTAATTATCCAAGATTATGGCACTTTATGTGCTCAAGCAGCCAAGTGCAAGAGAGAGCTATAAGTGGACTATGGACCACGACTGAGATGATTTTGATACATAGGACCACAGCTTGAGATGAGTTTGATACATAGAAAATTTTAATTGAATATTATTTATCCGAATGAATTTGACACTGTAACACTTATCAGGCAAGAAGTGTTAACCATACTGGGGTTTGAACCCAGAACCTTCTGTTAATTTAACTGTGCAGCTACTCTTTCACTGAACTATCTGCATATATACCCACTCCCCATTACAACTTTCACCTTTTTACTTGTCAATGAGACTTGCCAAGCGAAAACATCACAAGACTAAAGTTTTGTTGTTAAACACCAAGAACAACAGATGGCAAAAGTGTCAATATCAACCAAACTGAGACTCAAACCTGGAATTTCCCGCTTACTATTTGTGTGTTCTAGCAACCATTGAGCTTACTGGCCAACCTACCCAATCCCCATTACATCTTTTCAGCTTGTAATAGCCAAATAGTCTGACACATGCACTTATGAACCTTATTGCAAGTGTAAATTTAATTAAATTTCTACTACCAAAATAAATGTACAATCTACTTTTTATGAATCAAATGATCCTCACCATGCATTTTACCCTCTCTTTCACTGTACAATTCACAGAGGTATCCTTTCCATAAGTACAGTGATAATTGAACTGACAATCAAGACACTCTGGTCCTAGTGTGTGACAATGAGCCCAATCCGGGCATCGAAGGGGCACAACCTCTGGAGTGGGAGTTGACACTTCAAAAGGGGTATAAGTCAGTGATGAATTAACATCTGGAGATGTGTTCTTTGATGTACTGACATTAATTTCAGGTAAATCTGTGACTGCATTAATAGATGTTAGATCTTCTGTTGAACCTGAAACATAATATAAACAATTAAACAACTTTCTGGCACCATTTCCTCATAAATTAAATACATATAGAAAAAAACTTTTATACAAAACAATAATCATATCATTGATTACTTGATTCAGTTTATGAATTCAATTAATTTGATGGCCGCTATTACTAATCATTACCATGTTAATAACATTTCGAATATTTGCATGAAAATCTTTCACCGAGAAAATTCGAAATCATAACAAATCATTCAAAAAAAGGCCTTGACCTCAGAATGAAGAGGCTAACTTACTTTGTGTGATTGAAGTAACTGCCAAGAAAACCGATGAATGTATAAATAAAACGATTATGATTCGTGTCAGCTGCAGCTCTCGATATTTTTTGATGATGTCCATTCCGTCATTTTTTCCCGGAATACGTATAGAACACAGTGTTTGATTGGATAAAAGAATGTCAGACACCTCGGCCCAACGACATCTCGGCCCAATGACACCTCGGCCTAAACTGGTCGGCCCAAAATTTAAGACACCTCGGCCCATACATAAGACACCTCGGCCCAAGCAAACTTTTATTAGAAAGTATTATATATTTCCAATCTGCGATGTCAATAAAATTTTGACCGAAAAAAGTAAACAAGATTCTTTTTAGTACTAAAAAGACCTTCCACGAGCTGCATGATTGACGATCATCAAGGAATAAAAAGACAATTATAATTTTAAAAGTGCTAACAGATAAACAAACAAGATGCCGCGGCGCATCCTTTGGGAGTCTCCAGTGCGTGTCATATTGGTGTCATTAAGGGAATAATTACGAGCAGGCTTAATCTGTTAATTGTGAGACAGTCATTCAGAACATTTACATCCATTTATTTCTTAAGAATTTCACTTACATTAAAAACTAGTTTGAGCACTGTTTTTTTTGTTTGTTTTTTTTAAATTTTATTTTAAGCTATCTGTATCAAACTATGATTTTCAATCAATGAACATGATGAAACATACGATGAAGTTCAGATCAATAATGCAATTATTTTATGTACTTAAACTATTATTTTATACGATTATTTATACTGACATAAGTATAAACAATAAAAAATGTCCTTTTTTTTTTTTTTTTTTTTTGTTAATGCAAGATTAACGACCGCAACCATATAGCAGAAATTCTCGCATTTACAAAAAAGTTACGGTTTAAATGAAGTCCATATATATCTTTTCACGAATTATCAACCCATCTCAGATGAAAAGTAATGCAAAATGAAACGATAAAATTCCGACAATTCTTATAGAAAGTCAAGATCATAAGAATGTTGATATATATCAGTTTCACTTAATTGTATATATTGGGGATTTTTCACAAGAGATAGATCTATGTTAGTTAACGTGCTGATCTGATTTGCTTAGGAAAGTGAACCAATTTTCTATTATAGACCCCCCCCCCCCCCTTTGACTTTTATCTTAAAAAATCATTTAACCGTCAAAAAGAATAATTACATCGATAATAATAACAATTCAGACAATGGATTAATTTTGTCCATCATAAAATTTCGCTTGGGTCGAGGTGTCTTTTATATGGGCCGACGTGTCAATAATCTTGGGCCGACCTGTGAGGGCCTAGGTGTCAGACGTCACGGGCCGAGGTGTCGTTGGGCCGAGATGTCTGTCTACCGGATAAAATCAACAAAGGTAGATCACTCTAATGTTTTGAGTGGCAAGCGAAAAAATGACAGCACCTGTTGTTTACATCACGAGAATAGAAACTTTCAGCGCCTGTCATAGGTTACACAGGTAGATATAAATCTGGCTGCAATGACTGGTCCATAGCCTTCCATTCTGCTCTCTATTTGTTTTTATTTTGACTATATATCTACTAGTCTAACTATTTTAGCATTTTTATCCTCTCCTCAGTCTTGTTACATGTGCTTAAAAAAGTGTCTATGATTTCACTTTACAAAAACAGCTTGGAACTTGGGGAGGAGGAAAATAAAACTACATATGGAAAATGTAACAATCCAAACGGACATGGGCATAATTATAAAGGTATGTAAAATATATTAGCTCATTTCAGTTGAGGAGTAATGACCCTCTGCTCTAGTAAATCTCAGAATTTTTATTTTTTGAACTATGAGGAATAAAGCGGTGCTTACTTTTTTCAAAAATAAATTTTATGGCTGACCATGATAGGAAGAAAGTTTGACACAGAAAATAGAAAGAACACTATTATTACTATTGAATAAAAAATATGAGGTATATAATCCACCAACTTGAATAAGTGATGTAACCTAGTGATACATGTACCCGTATCTTTAAATGCAGGACAATAAATCTGAAAAGGGTGCTTTGTAATTTGTATAATTAAGAAGATAAAAGGGAGAGGACATGACAACATACATTCATTGATACCAATGTTTGAAATAACCATGCGCCCAACTGCCTGAAACGCTCAAATTTTGCCACGGGCAAAGTGATCTGCACATATTGATGCCCTGCTGGACGTGTTAAAATTTCCCATAAATTAATTAATTTATGGGAAATTTTAAAATTCATATATTTGATAAATCTCTCTCAAATCAACCAAAAGTATTGGTAGTAAAGTGTAAGAAGCAAAGGTATAGAATTCATCATCCTATAAAATCGAGATCGAAGTTATGGTGATTTGGCCCAATTCACATTATTGCTAAAAACAGTATAAAAGACAATTATTTTCTCAAGCTAGTAGATTTTTGGCAGGTCTGACAACTTCCACTAGCAGTCAGCCATGCTAATTTTACGGTGAGTTTCAAACACTGATTGATACATGTCCCTGTATAATTTTTTTCTTTTTCTTCCTTGTCTCAGGGAATGAAAATTTATTTCCAATTTGAATCAAGGTTTTTTTTTGGTCATATTTAGTAATTTATTTTATCTTCTTTTTTTCAGTGGAGGTAACTGTCAAAGGACCAGTAAGTACTGATAAAGTCTGTCAAAAAAGAAGAAGAAAAAAAACCCTCTAAGACTTGTTTTTCCTAACATATTACAGTTGAACTTTGGTATCTCGAACATGGATATCTCAAATACAATGGATATGTAGAAGTGATTGGACAGCCCCAAGCCCTTTTTCTCTAAGTATTTTACCCTCAATATCTCGAACCCATGGATATCTCAAAGTTTTTTCTCAATCCCATCGAGTTTGAGATAAGGAGGTTTGACTGTATATTTCTCACCATTTTAGTTGTTTACGCCAATTGAATGTAATGTGATTTTGCTAGAATGAAGGAAATTTATAGATTGAAGTAAAACAAAGGTTTTATATATATATATATATATATATATATATATATATATATATATATATATATATATATATATATATATATATATATATATATTTGTGTGTGTGTGTGGAACAAATGGATCCTTGTTTTACTCAATCTTATAAAAAACGGATTGTGTTTTCCTAAGAATTTAATTAAAGCTGTGGAATATTTTATAAGTAAATATTCTTTAGGTCGATCCAGTAACAGGAATGGTTATGAATATTGTAGATCTGAAGAAGTTTATGCAGGTAATTATGTTTTGAATTCTGGCCAAATAGTGATGCAAATTCTAAAAAATTAATTAGGAGAGAATTGTAGAAGCAGATAAACCTGAGTGGAAATTAACCATATGAGTAATGTCAGTGTGGGAGTATTTCAGCTACTATGGGATTATTTTAATAGGTATTGGTCGATTTTTATGGATGACTAAGAATTAACAGGTTCCTGGAGACATTTATTACCTGGTCAAACATTTCATGAAAAATCAAGGCTATAGATCCATATTTACTGAGGTTGTAAATTCATGGATAAGGAACACCCATAAAACCCACGAAAATTGAACCCTAAAAATATAATACCTTTGAACTTCCTAATTTCAAACACCCATATCTCAAATACCGGTATCAGGTTCGTTCGCCCTATCTACCTGTTCGCATGAGTCCGTTCGCGCAAGGTCCGTTCGCCATTATTCTTGTTCGCCCTACATCTCGTTCGCCATATTATATATACAGTATATAGTAAATATCAACATTTATTATTAATTTTATTCAATATTTTACGACTTGGTGGGTATTTTTTTCAAGTGTTGCTACAGTATTTTTTTTATTTACCGTAGTCTTAATTAAATAATTCAAATTTGATATTTTATGCTCTTTACATGCTTAATTGATTTAATTATACTTAATAATGTCACTGTAATTTAGGGGATCATACAATCTGCGTTATGTTTTGAAAACAATTAAAGGACTGAGACGTTAATTTCTGTTGGTCTGCTGGGTTTTTGATAGTACAGGTATTTATAGTGTGACCACATGCATACGTCTGTTGTCTCCCGTGTGCAATTTACGTACCAATGTACATATAATTTATTTAAAAAAATCCATTGGTTCATTATTCAACTTTCTGCAATATAAATAAGGCGAACGGACCCTGTGCGAACAAGTTTTAGGGCGATCGAACTCTGGGCGAACGGCAATGGGGGCGAATGGCGTCAAGGGCGAACAAGTTTTAGGGCGAACGAACATACAACCTCAAATACCTAGAATATGTCGAAGTGATTTGGCAGTCTCAACCACTTTATGTTTTACCCTATTATCTCAAATTCTCAGATACATGTATTTGGAAGTTTATTATCAGTCCTGTCGAGTTCGAGATAATGAGGTCAATCTAATTAAAATTAGATGTTCCGAATCCGCTCTCAAACATCTAACAACATCCCATTCGGGGTCACGTCAGAGCGACCTTTCGATTATGAATAAACATAAAAATTTTGGCCAATCAGATTCAACCTTCTGTATACAATTCTAAAATTAGTTCCACGGCTACTTCTTTACATTATTGATGCTCAGTAGACTGTCTTACGATGAATTAAAGTAATTTTGGTATAAATTGAACTATAGTCCGCCAGTCTGGCATTCTTAACTGAATAACGCAAACGAAAATGCACAAACTACTATATATCCCGCATGTCACATTCATATATAGCACGGTCTTTACCATGCATATTTTGTTTACTACGAAACCCCTCAGGCGTTAAGGTTTGGCAGTAAAAAAAGAATCGCATCCGAACTATAAGCCAAGATTTCGATGACGGCGATTTCATTGGGTAATCGAAAGGTCGCTCTGACGTGACCCAGAATGGGATGTTGTTAGATGTTTGAAAAGCGGTAGCGGATTCGGAACATCTAATTTTAATTAGATTGTAATGAGGTTTGACTGTATTTACATTCTGTATGTATGTCTCTTATAAAGTTTCCAAAGTTTTCAAATCTTCGGCATTCAAAACACCATAACGCAGACAGGGAGATCAAAAAGTTAAAGTAATGGTTTTATTTAGACATCACAAAGTATATAAAAGTGCAAGGTCATGAAAGAAAATCCAAACTCATGCCTTGAACAGTAACTGCTGCTCCCTCATTTAGCTATGCAAGTCTGGTGTGTATCATTTAAACTCAAAGAATAGATATTTTGTCAATCTACCAAGAAATCAATTGATGTAAATACATGTATAAGCATTGAATTGTAAATTTTGGACATTCAATGTGTCATAACAAGGACAGCTGTGCAAACAAATTTAAAATAAGTATATTCAGTAAGCGAGTCATATGAAGATGAAATATGTCCAAGGTGTATCATCTGACAGACTATTTGGTGAGGTACATGTATTTTAAACTGGTAATAAAAGAGAAAGAAGAATGTGATGCAGGTCTTATGACGATTTGATAAACAGTGTTGTAGATGGAGGCCAGTTATAAATGACCTCTTAGTTAGTTTCATAGTTACAGACCTAGACGGTAGATAGACATAAGTATGATAAAAGATAATTTAATTTATTATATGATTGTATAATTCCCATCTCTCTGATTGGCTGAGATTCAACAATGTTAGAAAAATACTACGTCATATTGACCTGCACATGACCTTCCAGGTCAATATAAGGAATTATTTATTCTACATTGGACCAAGAATAGATAGGGAAATTCCAAATTGATGCAAATAGTTTTGGAAAGTTATTTCACTTGCACCTGACTTCCACTCATATGAACGTAACATTAAGGCACATAGATTCTTGGGTGAGGGTTGGGGGGGGGGGGGGTGCAGGAGGCCTGCCCCTCTCCCTACCTTTTGAGAATGTCAAGTTTTAATTTAAATTTTAAGGATAAAAAATTTCAATGAAAGCCCCCCTCCCCTCTTTTATGGACCTTTACATCCCACCAAATATAATTTTGAGTTGGGAGAATTCTTTTCCTTTGTGGGGGGGGGGGGGGGGGGGGGTGTCAAAGATTTGTTTTCAGGTAAGTTGTCATTTTTTTTCCCTTTTAATGCCCCCTTTTTCAAAATCAATCCTATATATATATATATATATATGTATATATTCCTGACATTTATTTTTTCTACATTGCACCTAAACAAGAATTAAAAATTCCAAAATAATACAACTGGTTGTTTTTAACCCTGTTTCTCTCGTTATGTTCAGCTAGTACTTCAGTAGATGTGAACAAGTAAGATAGCAAGGATTGCTTAATGAGTGTGTGTCATTTAATCATATAGTAAAACAATTATCGCTGTTTTTTTCTGTCAATACGATAATTTAGCCACCTTCGATGTACAATATTAACCTCGCCCTTCGGGCTCGGTGAATATTGTACTCCTCAGGTGTCTAAATCATCGTATTGACCTCAAAAACCAGCAATAATAATAATTTAATAATTTTAATAATAATTTTTAATATAATAATTTCATAATTTGTGCTCAGGAAAGATTATAATTATTTAATTGTGTGAGGATTAGAAGATAAAATATAATCAGATTTTAATAAGCAGCAACCAGCATATTTTTGGAAAATGTGGGGTGGGGGGGGGGGGAGGGAGTCAGAAAAATAATTGACATCTTACCTGAAAAATCTTTGACAAGCAATTGAAAAACAAAGAAAATAGAGGAAAATTTCCCAAACATGTAAATTTTTAAAATACATTATCATTTGAGAATTTGACTTTACTGCAACAAAAGGGTATGGCCTCTCAACCTGCCTTTCAGTGGACATTTTAATACCAGTAAAAAATCAAGTTTTCAAGAAAAACTGGTTCAACACCCCCCCCCCCCCCCCCTCCCAACACCACTACTCTGGAACTTTGTGCCTGCTTTATTGTATATGTAATGCAGTCTTACTTTGTACTTGTGACAGCTAGATGTATAAAATGTAGCTAAAGTAAGAGGATATTGATACCTTGTGTTACACTGTTGTTTGTATAGAATTTTAATTAAAGCATTCATTTTTAGGATGCCATTATGGACACACTGGACCATAAAAACATTGATAAGGATGTTCCATACTTTAAAGACAAAGTGAGGTACCTACCGTAATCTTGTGTTTTAGAAACATTAGAGTTATTATAATTTAGTTATATTTTGTGACCATGCAGAATTGGTTCTTTTGTATCTTCACAGCACAACAGAAAACTTAGCAGTGTTTATTTGGAGTGAAATACAGAAAAAAACACCTAAGGACTTACTTTATGAAGTCAAGATTCATGAAACGGATAAAAATGTGATTGTCTATCGAGGAGAGTGATAAATGTATTATTGTAATGAAATAAAAATTGGATATTTAATATGCTTCCCATTTTTGCTGCATCACACTAAAACAACAGGTGAAGCAGATCAGTAAGATTAATGTATTAACTTATTAAAACTGACAATGCTGCAGTTTTTAAAAAATGGGACAATTGTACATGTAATTCAGACTTTGTTGTATCAAGTGTTTTGCATTATGACATAGTTGTATGTTCAGTAGATAAAGAAGAATGCTGTTTGCCGAACAGTTACATATACGTGTACTTCCAAAATATTATCACATACAGCAATTCTTGAAGATAGAATCTTTGTACTGTGTTACTAAGACACTTCCCTCTACTCACAAAAAAAAATACTATTTATATTTTCTAGTGAAAATCCTTATTTGTGCAACTTATAGTATGTAAGTATTTATAAAGAAAAGTGTATGTATATGTATGTAATGATAACTGTAATTTTGCTGGTAACTGTTTGATGTGAATAAAATGTATAGTGCGCCTTCTTTCTTCATTAATCCTCAATCCCTTTTACAATTTTTTTTTTTTATATGAGATTACATTTATATAGAATGCACTAGCATAATCTCAGTTTTATCAAATACAAATTACCGTATTGATTTAGTATTTTCTCTGTGATAACCCTCCAACAGACTGACAGTATTTGACATTTCATAAGTCAATCATGTGCTGTACCAACTTCAAAGCATGTGACTTTTTGGATGTTACCATAAACTGCCTCATACAACAGGTCGAGGAATCTACCTTATATGGATATTGTTGTCATTGCGCACAGCTGTGCTTACCGCGAACAAAGGTCCAATCCAATGATAGAACAGCAAAGCATGTTGGTCTACTACATGTTTACATTTTTTACTACAAACACCTGGTTCAGTCAAATTGACGACAAAATTTCAAATAACTGTGGGAAAGTCAAATAATAACTATTTTTAATTTTTTTGTGAAACATACAAAGGTTAGGTTCTAATTAAGATCTATCATGCTCACATTTACACACAAAGCCAATTTTCTATGTTTAATAGTACGTTGAAATACCACTCGCAAAGTCTTCAAAAGTAATAAAAATCCATTTTTGTAACTTGATATTGGTACATTTGTCATGCTATTGGTGATATTTGTTGTTGCTTTGTTATTTGTTTACTAAAAAAAAGTTAAATTAAAAAAAAAAATTATTACTGTAGACGTGCCTCAGCCTGCTATTTGCCAACTGAAACTATTTGTGGACTTGACACAAGCATAGATGCATTTGATTCAGTATTATAGATTTTTCAGTTTCACTTTGATGTGGATCAGACATATTGTGAAATACATATTAGTAAAACAGATTTACCATGCTTTCTTAAGTCACCTGAATCTGTTGACTGATCTACATGTATCGTTGAACTTTTGGCTTTCTGTCAAATTAATTTGGGTACAAAACATCTACAAAAAGTAAAATTAAAAATTTTACTTTCAACCCTCCATGGGAGATCCAAAATTATACCTTTTAAATTTCTATTATTCTTGAACATATAGCACAAATGTCTGCTTGATGAAAATGAATTAAAATCCCTCTGCCAAAATTATGTATGATCATTCCCCTTCCCAGGGGAATAAGTATAAGCAAAAAAAAGGGGGTGGGGTGGTTGTAAAAATCGTGAGAACTTCTGGGCCGTAAGTGACAACTTCATGAGAGTGTAGATTCTAAATTGTTCAAATAAAAATTCAATTCACATTTGTTCAAATCAAGGCCCCATGGGAAGGGGGGATGGGACCATAACAGTAGGGGGCCAGTTTTACATGGAAATATGTAGGGGGAAAATCTTCTCAAAAACAACAGGTTATTTTTGCAATATGCAAGTATCCTCAGATAGTGCAAATGCAAGTTTGTTCAGATTGTATGCCCTATATAGAGTGGGTTGGGCTACACTGGGTGATAAAAGTTTAATAGGGGAATACATAAGGAAAATGTTTAAAATCTTATTCTCATGAATAGCTAACCCATGATTAGTGATTTTAAGAAGCAAACATCCTCAAATAGTGCAAATTCAAATTAGTTCAAGTGGCCTGGGGGTGGGGGCTTGGTCTTCATGAGAGGATCAAAAGTTTCATATGGAAGTATGATTAGGGAAAAAAAGACAGCAGGGCCACCAATAAATATTAAAATGCAAGATGCTGTAGATCCAAATTCTTTGAAATAATCATACTGGGGTAAAGTGGATCCAGTACATTAAGGGATCAAATATTCATATGGAACATAAAGAAACAAATATTTCAAAATTCTCTTCCCAAACAATTACCCATGATAATAAGCAAATACAGTGCAGATTTACATTTCAAATCATGGTCCCTGGCACCAGTGTGGAGGGGCCAAAATGGGTACCAGTATTCCAAATTTTACCTGAGAATATACAGGAAAGTGAAAAAAGAAATATGAAAGCAGGATAACACTAGGTATATTTATATGCCAACATTCCCATGTGGTATCGATTCAATCTATGTTCAAATTATGGACACAGGGTTTAGGGTGGGGCTAAAATAAGTGATCAAATTTTACAATTGGAAAAAGTTTTTGAAAATATCCAGCGCAGCAAGGCCACATTATCCAGAATTCCCATCTGTGGATTAAAGTTGGTAAAGTCATAACCCCTTGGGGCTAGGGTAGGGTCATAATATGGGGACAATTTTTTTCTCATGGAAATGTACAGGGAAATTAGAAATATGTCCATAGGACATGAATGCCCCGCCAAGGGTATATTAGTAATGCAATATGAAAATTTGTATTAGTGTATGAAATTTGATGAGAACATCTTGAATAGTTTCTTTAAAATTGAAATTGAAATCTAAAATGTTTGATATGAATGATAAATTCTCACCAAATTATGTATAAGTGCATAAGCTTACATAAATATATCTTAAATGGTTTCTTTAAAATTAAGCAAAATGCAAATTTACGAAAAGTGAGGTCAAGGTCCCAGAAAAGTTCAAGGTCAAACATTTTTGATGCAGTTGAATAGTTCTCATAAATACGTATCAGCATATTAAGTTTGATAAAAATATTTTAAATGGTTTATTTAAAACTGAGCTAAACACTAATTTAAAATAAATGAAGTTAAGGTCAAAGGAAGGGTCAAGGTCAAAAAATGTTGATGCAGTTGAAAAGGTTACCTCAGTATGGATCAGCATATGAAGTTTGACACTAATTTAAGAAAAGTGAGGTCAAGGTGAAAGGAAAGGTCAAGGTCAAAAAAAAATGTTGATGCAGTTGAAAAGGTTACATCAGTATATATTAGCATATGAAGTATGATAAAAATATTATGAATGGTTTCTTTAAAACTGAGCTTAACACTAATTTAAGAAAAGTGAGGTCAAGGTCAAAAGAAAGGTCAAGGAAAAAAATATTAATGCAGTTGAATAGCTCTCATCAGTATGTATCAGCATATGAAGTTTGACACTAATTTAAGAAAAGTGAGGTCAAGGTCAGAGGAAAGGTCAAGGTCAAAAAATGTTGATGCAGTTGAATAGCTCTCATCAGTATGTATCAGCATATGAAGTTTGTTAAAATTATCTTAAGTGGTTTTATTTAAACTGAGCTAAACACTAATTTAAGAAAAGTGAGGTCAAAGTCAAAAGAAAGGTCAAGGTCAAAAAATGTTGATGCAGTTGAATAGCTTACATCAGTATGTATCAACATATGAAGTTTGATTACACTCTCTTGAACGGTAGCTTTAAAACTGAGCTAAACACTAATAAAAGAAAAGTGAGGTCAAGGTCAAAGGAAAGGTCAAGGTCAAAAATATTAATGCAGTTGAATAGCTCTCATCAGTATGTATCAGCATATGAAGTTTGATAAAAATATCTTGGACAGTTTCTTTGAAACTGAGCTTTGAAAAGAGCTAAACGCAAAGTGTGACAGGACAGACGGAAGGACGGAAGACTGACATGACAAACACTATATGCCCCGGCCATATTCATGGCGGGGCATGATAAATGTACTGCACCAAATACTTTTATAAAGAATATAGATTTGTAAAAAGCATTAATTTGAATGTATTCACCTCATTCTGTCCATTTCCAGTAAAGTCCAATAAAGTCAAAGAACATACATGTACATTATCACCAGTCACCTGAAAAAAAATCTCACCTGATTCACATAGTTCTTACTTTCAATTAAAGAATTTAACAAGAGGCCCAGGGGCCACATCACTCACCTGAGCACTATGGCTAGGAAAAAGCAGAAATCAGTTCAGTCTTGAAAAGTTTTGATATAAAAGTGGTTCGGGGGGGAGGGGGGGTTGATTTGAACTTGAATCTACACTTCAAAGGGATGCTTTAGAATTAATATGACAAATAATGGCTATGCTGTTCTTAAGAAGACAATTTTTATTGATATATCATTTGTCATCCTTTGTATAACTATGATCTCCTGTTATGGCCCCTCTGTTCTCCTGGGGGGTCATGATTTGAACAAAATTTGAATCTACATTACCTGAGGATGCTTGCATTTAAATATGACTAATTTAATGGCTTTGCTGTTTTTGAGAAGAAGATTTTAAAATGCTTGCTTTTTCCTATGTATTCCTATGTAAATTTTTCATCGCCCATTGTGGCCCCACCCTACCCCCGGGGGTCATGATTTGAACAAACTTGAATCTACACTACCTGAGAATGCTACCATATAAATATGATCAATCATGGCTTTGTTGTTCTTGAGAAGAAGATTTTTAAAGAGTTTTCCTATATATTCCTGTGTAAAACTTTGATCACCCATTGTGGCCCCACCCTACCCCCGGGGGTCATGATTTGAACAAACTTGAATCTACACTAACTGAGGATGCTTCCATATAAGTTTCATATTTTCAAGCACAGTGGTTCTTGAGAAGATTTTTAAATGATGCCATTAATTTTTCACAAATTCATGATTATCTCCCCTTGGAAGACGGCGTGGCCCTTCATTTGCACAAACTTGAATCCCCCTTACCAAAGGATACTTTGTGGCAAGTTTGGTTGAAATTGGCCCAGTGGTTCTTGAGAAGAAGATGAAAATGTGAAAAGTTTACGACAACAACAACGACGACAACAGAAAAGCTCACTTGAGCCCCGGCTCAGGTGAGCTAAAAAGAAACTACTTTAACTGTAATCGTAAACAAAGTCTATCTATCGGCATGATTTTTACAACATAATCTACGGTAATAATGGTGCATGTAGCTTTACTTTTATTTTTGCAAGATATTGATGTTTTTCTTCAATAAGTTTACTTATTCTAATATAAAATATTTGACACCCATTGTGGATTTATCCTTGGGTCAAGACTCATAAATTTTTTTTTTAACTATATGAGGATGCTTGTCTAACCAGAAAAATGCAACAGACCAGACCAGGGCCCCTTGAATAACTAGTCAGGTGCTCTACCAACTATTAGCTATCTTGCCACTGCCAATTGAATCCATATGACCACCACTTTCCTCCATCCTGAATGGTCTTGGTCCAAAAAGACACCAACCTA